TCTGCGCTCGTCGATACTAAAAGCCGGGCCCAATTCCGCATGAAAAACCTTTGCAAATAGCTAAGAAAAATAAGCCGAACCCATTTCGCGAACTCAGCTATTAAGGTTATTATAGTAAGCCGGGTCCAGCCCCGCATGAAAAATCTAGGTATAGCAGGGCAAGCCCGTCTCGCGAGCCTAACTACAACGATAACCCGAATAAAATGAGCCCAACCTCGTTCAATTCGACACCAAACTGTCTATTTTAACTATGTACGAGCAAACGGATCAGAACGAATTATATAAACGAGCAAAAAGACTAGCAACATGGAAATAAGTCTTAAGCAGAAAATAAAGCCAATGACTCCCTACGAGCCCGAGGCAAATTCAGGTTTTAGATATTACAAGAATAAAAATAAAGGCCACACGCGGCCGACAGCTGCGATATGGCAATCCTTCGCCGAGCACAGTACTCGATTAAGACTCTTGGGAGAGGGAACCGCAGCTTTCTCTCATAAAAGAAAGACTCGAGCAGACACATAAACCCCGGAGGGGATGTTGTACGAAACTCAAAGAATATCGAGCGTGTTCTCGTCCGACTGCGTCGGCAGGTTGTCTTTGGGTTGGGGAACGACCCCATCTCTGAGCCCAGGACCAGAACAACGATCGTCGTCTTTCAGTTCGAATTGAGCAGTCTTATACTCAGGCTCAGTCGAACTGAGAGTTAAAGCTAAACTCTTCACAGCTGTGGAGCCGCTTCCGTCCTGGGAACATCCCGAGCTCGGCAGAAGATGGGAAGTCGATCCAGGGGATCGTCCTGAACTAGAAGTGGCTCCACCCTGGTTTGAAGGAGCTCGTCTATTCTTCATGGTCAGCGGCGCTGAATCCACAATATGCTCGCTAGAAGATTCTTCATCCCGGCGCGACGAGTACTCGAGATGCGGAGAATCGCCAGAGTTGGCCGAGACAGATTCTTCGCGTTCATTTGAAACAGACATGATTGAAGATGTGCAGAGATCGAGATCGGAAAATTGAAGATCCAAAGATGGAGCACGAAGCCGAGCAGAAAAATGAAGGAAGCTAGAGAGAAGTTAGAGAGAGAAAACACGTTTGCTAAGAAGATCCGAGAAGCGAAGTGAAGAATGAAGAGGGAAGGACTCTCTTTTATAGATTAAAGTCGGGAAGACGAAGAGTCATCTCGATGCTCGCGCACCGCTTCGCACCGCTTCATGGGCCTCAGAACCGCACCAACGAGCCCAAAGCCCGCATGCTCGTTGACTGGGGGGCTACTGTTGGGCATGAGCTTTTAATATAGCCATTTTTAAAGCCCATCTCCGAGCTCGGCCCAGAGGCTTTAAGATCGGGCGAGCTCGGCCCAGAGGCTTGAAGATTAGCGAGCTCGGCCCAGCAATGCATAATTTAAGTCCCAAGAAAGGCACATCCACCTCTTGAAGAGATGACATCAGCACAAGTACCAAAAAAACCCTAGTACTTATTTCCCCTCCTTTTAGTATAAAAAGGGGTCCCTATCCCATGAATTATCCCATCACTTTTCCGCTTTTGGGCAAGTACAAGGGAGTTTGAGAGCTAAGCTTTCAGTACTCTAACACTAAAAGGGAAAAAACCTTCTGGCCGACCACTTCGCCCAGAAAAGTACAAGTTGTTCGTCGAAGGCAGCTGAAAACTGTTCGTTTGTATCATTTGTTCTATCCGACCTCAACATTCTTATCATTCAGGTTCTGACCTCTGAATCCACCGATCTCGCTACTCAGTTACCCAGTTACTTCAGTTTTAGATCTCTAACGCCCGATCTCGTTTTCAGTTACAGGTTCCGACCTTAAAACGACCGATCTCGATGTGAAGGATATCACTCAAGACACTCAGATCCACAAACAAGGTTCGTCAGTCCGACCTAAGCTTCCGAGCTCAAGACGCATTCCTTTTCTAGCATTCTCGTTTTACATTGTAGTCCGTTTTCGAGTTAATATCAATAAACGAGAATTTTTTATCCCATTACTGTTTATAAATTTATTGTCGAACTCATGGATCAACAAGGATTCTGTTCTGTGTGTTTCACTTAGTCCTGATGGTAACCAGTTAGCAAGTGGCTCAGGTGACACTACTGTCCGCTTGTGGGATCTCTACACTCAAACTCCAATGTATACATGCAGAGGTTCGAAAAAATCCTATACTTATAATATTTTGCCTTCTTGTTTTTGTCCTGTTTTCTAATATATGTTTATTAGTCTTCAGGGCACAAGAATTGGGTTATGTGTGTCGCATGGTCTCCAGATGGTAAGCACCTTGTGAGTGGTTGTAAAACTAGTGAAGTCTGTTGTTGGATACCAAAAATCGGAAAGCTAAATGGCAATCCCCTTAAGGTAAAGGTCTTTTTGATTTGATTGATGGTGATGAATAATTATCTAGTGAAATGTTTTGGAGATAAATCTCCAAACTTTCTCACAGGGTCACAAGCAATGGATTACTAGTATCTCGTGGGAACCGGTCCACCTTAACTACCCATGTCGTCGGTTTGTTACTTCTAGCAAAGATGGGGATGCAAGGATATGAGACATTGCACTAAGGAAATCTGTAGCTCTTCGTTTATGTTGTGTAATTGTGTCAATATTTGTATCAATTAATCTCTTGATCACTTCTCAGGTTGCTATTAAAATATTTGTCTTGTGTTTGGCAGTTCTCAAGATTGTACAATAAATATGTGGGACGTTTCTCAAGAGGGGGCTCCATTTTTGAAGACCAATTGAAGGTAAAAGCTCATTTTGTAAGATGTGGAACCGTCTCTTGTGATGGTTCTTGAAGATTCTGTTTGTATAGCTTTTGTTCTTTTAACTCTGCATGTTCCATTACTTCAGAAGCATGGACATTGGGTGAACACACTTGCATTAAGCACAGACTATGTTCTCCACACTGGTAAACAATATTCTTCAGCTGCAGAAGTTATAAAGGTGAGATCCTTCATTTTCATCCACACTAGAAAACAATATTCTTTCTCATCTCTTCCCATTTGGAATCTGTGCTTTCTTAAGTTGCGCTCAAAAGATACGAACAAGCAAAAGGAAAGTCCAGGGAAAGATTAGTCTCAGGTTCTGATGACTTCACAGTCTATTAGCGACAAACCTAAAAAGCATTTGCTCGGTCATCAAAAGATTGTGAACCATGTGTCTTTCTCACGTAATGGCTGGTGGATTGCAAGTGCGTCGTTTGACAATTCTGTCAAGATATGGGATGGTATCACAGGGGAATTTATTACAACTTTGCGAGGCCATGTTGGAGATGTTCATCAGATCAGGTTTGGTTGATTTCTTGATCTATTAATTTCTCTGTACTTGTAGTGGCTAAATAGTAGCGCTTTGCAAACCGCAGTTGGTCACCGGACAGTAGGATGCTTTGGTAGTAAAGATTCTGCTCTTAATGTAAATCTTGTTTGGTCTTAAAAATCATACATAAATCTGGAGGTAGTCCTTGATTTCTAAACCTCACTGGTATGGGATATTGGGACGACAAGGTTAAAGCAAAATCTTCCTAGTCATGCGGATGAAGTATTATGCATATTCAAAGGTGAGTACGAAAATGGTTGTGTTGGAGTCGTTTTTTAATTGGCAATGCTATCTGGCTATTTCTAATGATCAAGTTTTTGACTTTTTAACTTAGTCAAAAAAAGATGATAAACTCTCCTTGAACATTCTTAATTCCGGACCACAAACAAGTTCCACTACTAGCTTATTGTTTTCAAGATGCTTAAACTTCTTAACTTACAAAAATCAGTCTCCAAAAACATTCTTACCACTATCACAAGTTCAACTATCTTACCACCACCACAAGTTCAACTACTAGCATATTGTTCCTTAAACACTTACCAAGACCCAAACAGCAATTTACTCAACAGATAAGCGTGGGAGACAAAAGTCAACAAGCAGACTTCCTGTTTTTGACAAACCATCCTTTAATAGCTGGAGAGACACAGCTTCCAAAGACACTTTGATGAATGCAACCTTGTTGCCATAGCACATCTTTACACTAGCAACAGTTTGTCCATCCATCTGCGTTACTCCGTATATAATCACATTTCTAAGTCCAACATAGCAAGATTTCTCACAAGACGAGCCAATGTAAATCCCCTACCGCAAAACAAATGAACAAAGGTTAGATAAAATCTTTGGGACAGTTTATGAATTTAAATAACAGCACACTTACGTCTCCAAGAAGATCAATGTCAGGACTAAACACATGTAGTTTCGCTCCTACCGGTTGATGAGTCGAGAACTCTAGTGCCTCATTCACACTGGCAGTCTCGATCACTTCTCCTTTCATGCACACACGAGCAGCGTTATGAGAAAATGAGGGACGGTTGAACATACATCCCAAATGCAGCCAATCTTCTTCTTTCGGTATCCCTTCTTTCAAAGCAAACTTAAGGCCATCTTTGACAGTGAGCTTGGAGCAGTGGTGATCCGTTTCTCCCTGCCCAGCTTCCTTCTTGGGACAAGCGTTTTCCACCAAATACTGAGCTGAGTACTTGGTATACACATTGTCAAGCTTACGCATAAGCCGTGCAGAGCTTAACAGATCAGCTGCTATGATGGCCGAAGATAGAGATGCATCTGCAAGAAAAATACAGATGCTCAATTCATTATCTCCTTTCTAAGGATTAAAATGAATATTTTTTTTAAACTATCCTATACCGTCCTGTGCTGGCGCTTCATTCTCAATTTCTTTGTCCATGATCCTCTCCTCATCCGAAATTTTTTCCAAACCCTATTTCACATAACAAGAGAGCATTGAAAACTTGAAAATTTCACTCATTAAGAGGACCATAATACAAGCAAAAAAAAAAAGATTTCTACATACCTGCTTTTCATGATGATGATCATCATCTTTACCAAGTCGACACGGATCCTACAAGAAAATTCACAATGAGAAGTTATAAAGATAACATTACAAAATTCTGTAAAAGGCAAACTAGATAGAAATAACCTCTTACCTCAATACCAAAGATGGCTAACAGAATAAGGTCTTTACAAGGCAATCTCCATCGATGTCTTTTTGCTCGACGTGGAAGATTAGTACATTCAAATTTTTGGTATGCAAGAGCGATACATATTAGATTTCTTGCAGCCATGTCTTTGATAGAATCTCTGAGTTGTGTTCTCTGAAACAACAACAAAATTTAAAACAAAAAATATGGTTTTAAAACACTTCAAAATCCAATAAAGAGAAATTACGAACCTTGGATTCACTCATTACTACGTGTTCGCCGTAACAATCATACTTTGTGCAGTTACCTAGAATGACGGAGGGGTTGCCTTTCCAGTGAACTCGAATGCCACCTTCATATGATTTATGCTGCTGAGAATGGAATAAAAGTTTCAATAGAAGTGGAGTGAGAAAAATAAAATAAAATAAAAAGACTAGAAAGATAAAAACATCCGATACTGAAAAACACGTACACAGTCTACTGCTATGCCAATACATTCCTCCATTGAATTACATGGAGAACTTTCAATCGTCGTGGAACCAGACTTGCTATAAGTCACGTTCATGTTCAACTGCAACTTTGAGTTCCAGAAAAACAAACATATAATATATTTATCAATACAACTAAATTGGACCAGTGAAAGAATTGAAATCATAAAGAAAATTGAAACCAGAAAAGGAACCTTTAGCGCCCATTTTAGCAAAGCTCGCTCTATTGGAACTCCAATGACCTCAGTTTGACCATCCTGCACCGGAACAGATACACAGTATAATATTCATTCAGCAGAAGTAAAATTTAAATCAAACAGAAAATATTATATAGTTTTAAAACATGCCTTGTATTCATAGACATGGCCAGATGTGTGATTAAAGATCGCTTCAAGAATAAATAATGCTGTATCTTTCGAGCGAGTCTCCGGATGATCTATCTTATGACCATCAAGATAACATTCGACAACTTTCTTCTGAAAAAATAGAAAAAAGATAATTATTGTGAAGTCATACCATCCCACAAAACAATAAACAACATTAAAAAAGATACCATCCGACAAAACAATAAATAACACTAAAAAAGAAAATACCTGATATGCTGGTCGAACCTCTCCATAGGTAAATGAATTGAACAGTTTCCCTGGACGCCGCCCAAATGATCGTTTTCCTTTTGTCTCCAATTCATATACCACGATGTCCAATGATACTTCAAAATGACCAGAGTTTCCATGCTGAATTCCATGGGTGTTCTTCCCGATCCCGATTGTCTCCCCATTCACTACTTTGATTGCACGAAGTGAAACTGAATGCCAACCAACAAACTTGGAATTTTTTGATGTTGGTCCACGGTAAGTACGCTAACAGATAAAAAAATTACATAGTTTTAGTAAACAAATTCAACCATAATATGTTCAAAGTACCATACACAAATTTATCACTTACTTTTCTAATCTGACGGAAATCAGGCTGGAAGATCGCAAGACATCCTAATAACGGTTGGATCTTTAGGTATTCGTTCGCCTGCTTCACATTAGGTAAGGATTTAACATCATTTAAGACGTGCTTCAGTCTGACTTCACCAAGATTACAACTCGGAGGGAATTCGTTTCCGCACCCGGTGTCTGTCCAATCATCACGTCTTGGTATACCATGGTTCATGGCATACTCTAAACCTTCGTAGGCTGGATAAGGGTAGCAGTAATGTTTCCCTTTGGTCTTTTCGTACTTTTTTGTTGCTTCTTCAGTATCCACAAAATCGACCAAATACTGACTTGAATAAGGTACGTACACCTTATTAATAGAATCATCATTATAATATAATGCATCGCTGATATTCTCAGCGCCCGAAACTGACCAACAAGTCTCTGCAATTTGAATCAAGAATGTGTTTTTGTAATGCAGCCAAAAGTTAAAAACAAAATCAGAGAATGGAAACCTCAGATTATTTTACCGTGGTCTTCTTGGTCTTGTACAGGGACTTTCGAATCGAACCAGTTTCTATCGTGCAGATCCTCTTTCCTTATCTGAAATTAGCACAATGGCTGATTGAGTAAACAAAGTACAAAAAGACAAATTAAGATATCTAATGAAAGAAATTTACCTCAATCTTTTTCCAGATTGTTAAAGTTGCTTCTTCAGTACGAAGATAGTGGATCTTCATACCATCCGGCTTAGAGTTCCTAATTCTTGGAAGAAATGGACCCAAGTCCGGAGGATGATTGCACTGCATATAAAAGTGAGTCAATTATCAAGTCAAACATAAAAAAAAATGGTATAGAACACTATTTTAATTTATTTCTTGATCATGTCAACAAAGTTTCCATAAGATTTAACAACAAAATAAAGACCCTTGGAACATATTTTGCAAAGAAAGGTGATTATAGAGGACATATGAAAGAAGAATTACTTCCGTAGGAGCGCCCTGCTTCACATCCTGCATATATATGAGATCATATTATGGCAAATATAGCAATGTATCTATCTAATTAAATCAAACAGAAAGCATTGTTTTATTGTACATACAAGATATAAAGCTGGTTCAGGAAGGTGAGCCATGTTTCACCGAATCTGCAAAAAGCCTCAGAAAAATCGCGTAGATGCACGTGAGTTTTGCTTCTGACCTGACGAGGCCACAAAAGAAATTTAATATCGAGCACAAGTACTTAAATTGGTGATCAATAATCTAGAAAAATAATAAGAAGAGACAAACCTGGAATGGCAGAGTAGTAGTTAAAACCTGTTGGTACGTTTAAAAAATCGATCTTTAGAAAGCAGTCTTGAATTACAGAAAAAGTCTCAAAAGCATTCATAATTTCAAACCACAAACAACAAACAAGTTCCAAACATCTTAACTTAAATAAAAAAATCTCTTAAAACATTCATAATTTTGGACCAGAACAAACAAACAAGTTCCATTAGTCACTTACGAATGCAAACACAAAAACGGATAGAAAAATTCAGAACAAAATCAATATGAAACTATATTTCTCAAAGCTCTTCCGGTCAGTCATCTTCCTTAGAGGGAAAACAAGAGAATGTGGAGACATTTGCTTCCAAACATACAGCAAAATCGAGAAGAGGAAGACACTCAGATCAAGCAGAGAAAGAAGATATAGCAAGATCAGAGAACGACCAACAAAAAACAAGACCTAATAGCAAGCAGAAACATGGAGCCCAACATAAACATTAACCATTTCTATCATAAGAATCAAAATCGAGTGACCTGTTTTTGTCTAAACCACAGAGTAAAGTAATAAGCTAATTTAACAAAGAGTAACCAACCTAAAGAAGATTCCATCATCATTCACCCAAGAACAAAGTTAAACCCTAAAGCGTAACTATAAGTTTCACTANTCGCACTAAGAAGGGTAAAGCAAAAGCAGAATCNGTAACAAACTAAAGCAAGCAAAACGAGTCGAAATGAGAAACAAAATAAGACCATCGAGAATATGCTTACCGGAGAAGACGAACAACAGTTGGACAGTCGCAATCGCCAATCGCCAATCGCGTGGAGAAAGTGCAGGAAGAAAATAAGGCAAAAATTAAATCCACAAACTCAAGCCCTACTTTTTCGTCGGCATCATAAACGACGTCGCCTTAAGATTTCGATTTTCGGGTCTTTTAGTACGTTGTCGTTTTAGAGACGAAAAAGTGAAGATTGTATTTCGATTTACATACCTCCATCAGGAATATCGAGATTTTTGTTTGCGTGGTCTTGGGGTGGCGGTAACAGCGCATGGAGTGTTAGTGAACGTCCTCCTGACGGAATTGAAACAGCTTGAAGAGTTGAACATCAGGTGCAGGTTCCTTCATTTGACATATCGTGTTGGTTTGGTAAGAAGCCATCTCCAAGAGCCAACCTTTGGCTCCCGAGCTGCTATAATCATAAGCCAATCTCCTCCACTACTTGATCAGCCGCGCTGTAATTTGAAGAAGATGCGCTGTTACCAATTCAGATCTGTAAGAACTACCACACCTTTGCCAATCCAACTTGCGAAAACTGAAACTTGATGAAATGGGCTTTGCTTTAAATCATCTGGAACTCCTCCTCTCTCAATTCTACCCATGAGTTTTGCAACCACTCCTTCTGTTAGAGACACAGAGTCTATTACTATCACAGTGTTCCTCTTCTTGTTGTTCTTCATCTTAACCATCCTCGGTGCAGTACCAATTCCGGTTTCCTCTTGTGATTGACCAAACCAGAATTCGGTTTGTTACACTTCAACATCATTGGTATGACAAAAGGTTCATTCTCTATGCATTCATCATCTTCTCTCGTCAGCAGGAAGATGATTTGGCTCTTCTTTCCTTGAAAATCATCCAAATCTCTCAATTTTGCGGCATTAAATCGCTCTACGAGGAATTTCATCAACCAGGAAATCGGCTAATTCAACCCGCTCTATCAAAACAACAACTTTTTCCTCAACGCATTCTCGAGCTCCTCGCAAGCTTCACTTGTCTTGGGTGTTCTTAGACTAATCTTCAACATATTATCGACCGACCCGAAAAGAGAAGATGTGACTGTGAGAGCCATTCTTCTTTTCGCAGTCACATCGTTCCCCGAAACCAGCATCCAAATATCAATCCTCTTTACAGATTCTTCCATGGCTTCAACGATTGAAGGAAGAACTTCCCTTTGCCATGAAATGTTCTCGTGAAGCTTTTTCGATAATTCGCTCATTGTAATCACTCTCTTTTGTTCTTCGTCCTCGGACTTCTCTGAATCAGAGATGGGAATGGAGAATGACCATGTGCAAGAGTGATCTTGGTTTCCACACCTTCATTATTGTTAATCTTGATCCATCTAAACTCAACTCATCAGTTGGATTCTTCTTTAGACCTTCTTGATAGTTACTTCCAAAACTAAACTCAAGCGTACACGAGTTCTGTCGTCTGAATTTAGCCACCGAACTAGATGCACGTGAGTTTTGTTTCATTCCCGTGTCTACAAAAGAAATTGTAGCTGCGGTGTCCGGAAAAACAAAGCTGCTCTGTTCCGTGCCCCAACCGTAGCTTCGAGCAGTCGTACCGGGTTTCCTGTGGTGAAGAGTTTGACAAAACCAGTTCCATTTTTTCCTTAGTCCATTCAGTTCATCCTGAAACTTAAACCCACAAAGAAAAACAATTCAAGTAACTGCAGAAACACCGATAACAAAACAAATATTATTCATTTACAACAATTTGTGTACCTTTTGGTTAATATTGTTGCTGTCTTCGTGAGGTTGCAGCCAGGGCGGTAAGATTTTGTGTTGAGCTGATACTAAATCTTTTGCTTCTTTCTCATAGTTAAAAGCACATTCTCCACAGAATTTGAG